GGGAAGTGGGCCCGAGGTCAGGACCCTGGTTTGTCCCCAGGGCACAGCCAGGCTGAGGAGTCGGTGCCTGGGGAGGAGGGCGGGTGAAGGGTCTGTTCTGTCTCCACTCTTGGGGTGCTCTTCGTCTCTCAAGATGAGAGTGGAGTGCAGGGGGCAGGGGGCAGCAGCTAGACAAGCCAGAAAGGAAGGCCTCTCAGCCTTACATCCGCGGCTCTTGGCAAACGGAGAGGGAGGAGACCCTGCTAAATTTTGAGCTGGGAAGAAACGGCAAGCAGGAGCCAATGGCACGGAAGTTGTTTGTGTTGATGAGGACATTGGGCATCTCTGACACGCTTTGTGTTTGATGATTTGTTTTAATGGCTTTTAAAATCTTCTAATAATGGCTTCTGTACGTGCACTTTTTTTCTCCGTAAAATTTGAAGTTCAACTACAAATGTTTGTAATTTGACTTCAAAGGGCCTCAGGGACTAGGAAGGATTACTGAATATATTCAGTATCACAAAAACCCAGTTGCTTAGATTATCGGTGTGTTAGGGATTGAAGTAAAAATTGTGAGAGCCATGTTTACTTATTCATTCAGTGCTTCCTTCATGCTGGAATCAGTGATGGGCATTTACATACACGACCTCATTACTTTTCACTATAATCCCCGAAGGTGGGCACTCTTGGCCCCATTTTACAGGCGAGGCAGCTGAGGCTTAGGGGGTTTAAATGATTTTGTCAGGGGCACAGAGCTCAGACCGGTGACAGAGCCGGGATTTGAAGCCAGCCTGGTCTCACTTTAAAGCATTTGCCCCTTACGAGCAAGGTGCTTGGAGAAGGTGGGTTTTGGGGCTGATGCCTCCTCGTGCCAGCCTGCTCTCTGAGGTGGGCGCCTCCTGCAGCTCTGCCCCAGCCTGAGGAGGGGCACCTGGAGAAGGGGAGGGAGAAGGCAGCCGTGGGCACTGACTGCTGGCTTTGGGGGCAGGAGCGGGAGTTGGAGCTCCGGAGGCAGGCCCTGGAGGAGGAGCGGAGGCGGCGGGAGCAGGTGGAACGGAGGCTGCAGAGCGAGAGCGCCAGGAGGCAGCAGCTGGTGGAGAAGGAGGTCAAGATGCGGGAGAAACAGTTCTCCCAGGTAAGTGGGTGCTGGGGTGTGCTGGGCGGGGCTGTGGAGGGGTGGGGGTACCCTGGGGTGTGAAAACTACTCTCCTCCAGAAAAGGCTGCTGTTGGCTCAGCACCAGGCAGAATTCTACTTGGGACTCATTTGGCCCCAAGGACCAGACACCTGGGTGTGCGTGTGTCTTATGGCTGTCCTGGTCCTCACTCCACCAGACTCGAAGCTCCGCCCCCCGGCCCCCCTCCCACCCCCACCCCCACCCCCACCCCCGTGGGCAGATGATGTCACTCTGACTCTTGGTTTACATCTCCGAGAGAGACTTGTACTTGTTTCTCCGTGGCACCGGAGTCCTGGGCTGTTGCCTTATGCAGAAGACTTGAGCAGAAGAGTTGAAGGTAGAAGAAGTTAGGTTGTGTGGGGAGGTCTGCCTGTGTCTCTGGTCCCAAATCCTGGCCCCCCTGTGAGAGCCCATGGGGCTCACACAGGCTGTTCCTTCCCACTGGGTCTTCTAGTCCCCCAACACCCCTGCGTGTCTGGTCCTGTGGGATTTACCCCGACAGGGACCAGTGACCACAGCTCCCTGGTCCTGGGAAGCAACAGCATAAACTCTAGGGGGCAGGCCACCTGGATTGGGCTTGGGAACTAAGAAACGATCAGGGGGGTGCCTGGGTGGCTCAGTCAGTTAAGCGTCTGACTTTGGCTCAGGTCATGATCTCACGATTTGTGAGTTCGAGTCCTGCATGGGGCTCACTGCTGTCAGCACAGAGCCTGCTGGGGATCCTCTATCCCCCCTCTCTCTTCCCCTCTCCTGCTCACACATGCTCTCTTGTTCTCTCTCAAAAATAAACACTGGGGCACCTGGGGGGCTCAGTCGGTTAAGTGTCCGACTTCAGCTCAGGTCATGATCTCATCGTTCACGAGTTCGAGCCCCGTGTTGGGCTCTGTGCTGACAGCTCAGAGCCTGGAGCCTGCTTCAGATTCTGTGTCTCCCTCTCTCTCTGCTCCTCCCCCACCCACACTCTCTGTTTCTCAAAAATAAATAAACATTTAAAAATTAAAAAAAAAAATACTGATAAGGAAACTGAGGTCCAGAGAGGGCATACGATCCAAACAAGGTCCAATAGGAAGTCAGAGGCCGGATTTCCTACTGGGCTTTGCTTTCCAGAGCATGTTCACATCTGGCCTCTTGCCTTATTTCGTTCAGCCCAGGAAGGAGATGAGGGGCAGGGACAAGACAGGAAAGGTTGTATCTTGCTCCTAGGTGGGGAAACTGAGGCACGGAGCCACTCAACACTCGCCCAGGCCTAGGTTGCGGCAGTGCGGGCCTGCTAGATCTCTGCTTTTGCCACAAGCCCTGTGAAACCAGAGTGACTTCCCTGGGGGTGGGAGGGAGGGTTGGCATTGGTGGCGGTTCAGGACTGAAGCCAAGAGACCTTGACAAGGGAACAATGGGGGAAGAGAGAGACTCTGCTGAGCCTGCCTTCTGCTCCCAGGCACGACCCCTGACTCGCTACCTGCCAATCCGGAAGGAGGACTTTGATCTGAAGACCCACATTGAGTCGTCGGGCCACGGTGTCGATACCTGCCTGCACGTGGTGCTCAGCAGCAAGGTACGAGGCGTGCGTGGCCCCCGGGGTGCTGGGGGGAGGACCCCCCGCTCTGGGCATTTCCCCGGGCCCTTGGGATAGTGGCCCTAGTTCCTGCCCTAACACCAGAGGTCTCTGTCCCGGGATCTGGTGTGCTGGCTTAAAGAGATGTTGGGGACAGCCCCCTGAAACACAGGCAGAGGGGATGGATGGCCTTTCTGTTGCTGCTCGGGGAAGGAAGGTTTAGGGACTGCGCATTCGGGTCCCTCCTCACTCCCGCTTCTCACCAGGTCTGCCGCGGCTACTTGGTCAAGATGGGGGGCAAGATTAAGTCGTGGAAGAAGCGCTGGTTTGTCTTCGACCGGCTCAAGCGCACCCTTTCCTATTATGTGGGTAAGTTCCTGTGAGACTGTCTCAGAGCCTGGACGCTTCTGGAAGGAGGCCAGGCTTACAAGCCGGGGGCCAGGGGCTTGAGCTGAGCACTTGTCCCCTCCCTGACAGCATCCAGAGCACAGTCCACCTTCGTGTATTTGGCAACATAACCGAGCGCACCCTAAGTTCCGGGCACTGTCCTGGTCCTTGCTGGCAAGGAGGGTGCCCACAGCTCTGCCCCTCGGAGCTTGCTGTCAGGGAGGCAGATACTGAACGGAGTGAAAGCGGTGCATGATGGGAATGCTGCAGGGGACCCCGGACGCTGTGCGCATGTGCAGTTCTGTGGATTCCTGGAGGGCCCGCAGGCGCCTCCTCCCACGGCTTCCTCCGTCCGGCCTCCAGCTCGGTTGCCGGTCCCTAGAATCCCCTCCCTCTCTCTGGACAGTTCCCACTTCGAGCGCAGGATGCCGTGTCGCACGCTGGTCAGCAGAGGCCAGGGCATGCCGTGGGGACAGCCAGTCCTGAGACCCCAGTGGCTCAGAACCACAAAGGTCGTTCTTACCCGATGTGCATCCGTGTACGTGGCGCGTCGGTGGGGGCTCTGCGGCCCTCTGCGTCACCGCCCCCTTTGTTGGAGAGCATGCATTTTTAGAGCACTGCTGGCCACCGTGGCGGAAGGTAAAGAGAAGCTTAACTGCGCCTTGCACTGGCATTAAATGCCCCAGCTGGGGTCTGTCCGCAAGTCATTAGCGGGGCTGCTCGGCCAGTCCAGCTACCCCGCCCCCAGCCAGGAAGAGCAATCCTGCTCGGAGCCTGAAAGGTCAGGGCTTAAATGTCTGGTGCCAGGGACATCCAGGCCTGGAGTGCCTGCATCCCCTCTAACCTGCTCCCTGAGTTCCACCCCCTCCAAGAAACCTTCCCTGATTGCCTGGGGCCCTGGGTGTGCGGGCAGAGGCACATGCGTCTGGGAAGGGACTTCGTGGGGATTTGAGAGAAACAGGCCCGGGGAGAAGAGCTCCATTTTAGGCCTGTTGAGGTTGAAGTGCCCCTGGGACATCTAGGTTGAGGGAGAAAGGTCAGGGTTGGAGTTGAATCGGTTGGAGTAATAGTGATAGCAGGTCATACTCACCGAGCACTCGCCTGAGCCGGCTGCCGTGCTAAGCATTCTGCGTGCCTCGTCTCGTCTACTTTTCGTCATCGTCTTGTGAGGGAAGCACTGTTTCATACCCATCTTACAGATGGGGAACATAGGCTCCAAGAGGTTAAGTAAGTAAACTCCCTAGGGTCTCACAGCTGCTAAGAAGCAGAGCTAAGCCTGAGCGTGGGCAGCTGGACCTCAGCGGGAGATGAAAGTCCATGCCCTGGGGAAGGAGGAAGCAGAGGGACGGGCAAAGGGATGAGGGGCAGGAAGCCACATGCCAGGTGCTGGGCTGGCCCTTGGTCTCTGTGACCTTCCTTAATGTCTGTGGAACGAAGGAAGACGACTTTCAGATGAGAGGCGGAAACAGGGAAGCCAGCCCAAGGAGCAGACGTTTGCAGGCAGGGAGCGTCGTGTCGCCGGGGACGAGGGATGCTACAGAAAGGCCGAGAATAATGTGGGCTCAGAGGCCCTTCCACTCCGCGACCGGAGCTGTGTACAGGGGTGGGAGCCATTGCACACGAGGAGGAGACGTGGGTGGTTAGGAAGCAGAGGCAGGAGCTGTTAGTATTTCCAGTGAAGGGAGAGGTGCCACTGGAAGGGTGGCCGGGCCTGGTGGCCAGGGTGGGGCTGCGTCCCCGTCCCAAGAGGAAGCGTCGGGTGGAGCTGGGCCCATCAGCCCAGGGGCGTAACGATCGCAGCTGCCACATGTTGTGTCCCAGACACTGTGCTGAACCCTCCGAACGTGTTCTCTCACTTAGTGCTCGCACCGGTTACAACGCGTAGATGCTGTCTCGGTGTTCCCAGCCGTGCTGTCAAGGTCACATAGCTAATGAACGCCTGTATGCCTGTGCTTTCCTCCCCACTGGATTGTAGGTTCCTAAGAGAAGGATCTGTGATTGCTGGTGATCCCAGCGCCTAGGGCTCCTTCAGCACTGAGCACCTGCTGTGTGCTAGGCACATAGCTGTTGGTGTTGGAGGAGGTAGACCTACGGACAGGTAAAGAAGGGCTCAGATTTAGCATGGTAAGTTCTGTCGAGGAACATCCATGCTGTGGGAACACAGGAGAGTGCAGCCAGGCACCACAGAGGTGACACTCGCAATAGGTCTGGAAGACCATTTAGGAATTTGCCAAGGGAATGGGCTGGAGACCGTTCCAGTGTATGCAGAGCATACTGTTAAGGGACTGGTCAGCTCCACCTGGCCAGATAGAACGCGTTGGTGCAGGGGAAGGATGTGAGATAAGACCAGAGGGGCGTGTTGGCACCGGCCTGTAAGTACCCTTTGCCAAGCCAAGATGGCGGCAGGTTCCTGGGGAGGGAACTGGCCGGGAGGCTCGCGGGTTGAGGCAGCAGGATTAGGTTTGCTTTAGGAAGATCGCTCCCTTGTCCTTAGGGGAGAGGAGTTGAAGGGGCAGAGGGTGGGGCCGGGGCACATCGAGGAGGCTACAGCAGTGCTACCGGATGGAGGACTCAGGCCGCAAATGACACAGGGGTGGGGGAAGGGTGCAGAGCAAGGTGCAGGCCATCGGCTGTCACTGTCTGAGTTTAGTGACTGTGACCTTTCGGTTGTGGTGCCCGAGCAGTGTTTGCACGAGACAAGATGGCCCAGGCCCTGGGCTTTCCCTTGGCAGTTCCCCTCCCTCCCCACTGGAACGGTCCCCTCTGCTGTTAGCTTGCCCACCTTCTTCCTGTCACCCCTGCCTCTAGGTGCTACACGTCTTTCTGTTTTTTAATATTAGAGGCGAATAGGCCAATGCATTCATAGAGTTCTGATATCAAAACGCCCGAAAAGCTTTAGATTGGGACTTCTGCCTCTGCTCAACTGTTTTTATTATAAGTCTCTTGTGTATCCTTGTAGAGTTTTAGAACGTAAGCAAATGCAAACATAGACTGTTACTCGTTTTCTTACACAAAAGGGGGCATACAATGCATTCCTTGTTTTACTGCTAACGTATCAGATCTGTGTGAGATAGATCTACATCTGATACATTTTAAGTTAAGCTGTATTTCTGAAACCATATAGCAGAGATTTCTGAATCATTTAAGAGCGGTGTAGTATCCCCTCATGTGCTAAACTGTAATTTATTAACTAATCTCTACTCGGGGACACTTGCACTGTTTGCAGTATTTCATGACTACCAATACTGTTGGGGTAAATAAGCGTGTAAATTTGTTACTTGTAAAATAAATGTCCGTAAGTGCAATCATTGGCTCGAAGGGCAAACACCTAATCCTGGTAGGACTTACCTGTCACTTGTCAGACCACCTCCCCTGTTTCTCCAGAGCCCCACCTAAGGGGTGCTGTTTATTTTTGGCATATTTTTGCCATTCTGGTAAGTGAGAAGTGGTATCTCAGTGGAGTTCTAATTTGCGTTCTCTAATTCTGAGCAAGGCTGAGCACTGACCAGATCTTCGGGGCGCCATGTTGGCCTCGGTTCTGGAGTCCCGGGAATCACCCCATTTCTCAGACTGGGGGCAGGGGTGCTCCTTCAGCAGCACGTCACCTGAGGGACGACAGGCCTCCTCAGCCCGGCCTTATTTCCTTTGCAGACAAGCATGAGACGAAGCTGAAGGGGGTCATCTACTTCCAGGCCATCGAGGAGGTCTACTATGACCACCTGCGCAGTGCGGCCAAGGTGAGGGCAGGCCCCGCGGCGTTGTGGGACGACAGCCTCCAGCCTGCGTCCTCCAGAGACTTGGACCCATGGCTTGGTCTCTTTGTAAACTTTCTCTTCCTCTCTCCCTCTCCCCTTCCCAGAAGAGGTTTTTCAGCTTCACTGTGGTGACTGAGGTACCCCTCCCCCACCTACGTGTAACCCAGAACTACTGCACATTAATGCCCCCTGTCCCCTACTTGTCCCTGACCCTTTACTCTCCCCTCCGCCCCCCTTCCCCAGGCCTGAGGGAGGAGCAGCGGGGGGCGGCTTGCGGCCCCCTCTCTTGAGATGACAGCAGGCTGTGTCCCTGTGGGGGGAGGAGTGGGCACCACAGAAAGGATGGCTAAAGGGAGGAAGGGGTTCTCCGGGAGGGTTCTGGCTGGGGGGACTGATAGAGGGGATGTGTCCGAGGCCTGGGCTGTCTGCCCTCGTGTAATCAGCCTCCCTCCCCCCAAGCCTCGGGTGCCCACCTCAGCCCTGACCTCCCCTCCTCTGCGGCCCAGCATCCTACCTGCAGCTTTTTCCATCGGCCCCTCTTGTGCTGAGAGGAGACTCTGGTCCTCACGGGAAGGGCCCTTTGTGTCCGATTCCTGTGACACTTTTGTGCCCCCGGGCTCGCTGAGGAACAGTGCCCCCACGAGGCAGGGTACGGCCCTGCCAGGGCCCAAGGATGGTCCGGGTGTGAGGGGTGTGAGGAGGGGACCGTCTCCAGCGGCGGCCCGCCGGACTGATGGGCACTAGGTTTGGGGCCTGTTTCAGACTCTGTCCTGAGCTCTAGGGTGTCCTGGAGACGGGGAGGGGAAAGGGCAGATGGGGGGGTCAGAGGTGAGCCCTGGCTTAGACCTTCCTCTCTCCCTGAGCAGAGCCCGAACCCAGCCCTCACCTTCTGTGTGAAGACCCATGACCGGCTCTACTACATGGTGGCCCCATCTGCCGAGGCCATGCGCATCTGGATGGATGTCATCGTGACCGGAGCTGAGGGCTACACTCAATTCATGAACTGACCGGTGTGGACCTCCTAGACCCTCGGGCCAGCCCACCTGCTGCTTCGCCCTGGAGACAGAGGTGCACACCGGGCCACACAGGAGTGCCCCCAGAGGCCCGGAAGGGCGGAGCGTGCCTGGGGCTGTTGTAGGTGACTTTGTACTGTTCTACGGTGTAAGGAGCTCATCCTGTGAATTTCTGGGCTCAGGCCCCCTGAAGAACCAGCCAGCAGATGAAAAGTGGGGAGGCTCCCGGGAGCCCAGAATCTGCAGTAACCTTGGAGGGCCCTGCCCCAGGCCTGAGGAGCTGTCACAAGAGGGGGCCTCAAGCTCTGACCTGGCACCTGCACTCCCCAGCCTGTGTTCTCTTTTGCAAAAGGACAAATTATGGTACCAGAATCTGCCAAAGATCCCTTCTTGCCTCAGCCCCCTTTGCGGAGGCCTTGGGGGCTGAGGAGAACCACATCAAGAGTGGGGTAACAGCTCAGGCAGTGTACTTCTCCAACCCCGCTCTACCCTGTTCTCCCCTGTCAAGGGCCAGAGACCTCCAGTGCCATCCTTGAGGTCCTAACCTCATCCCCTTTTTGCAGACCCCCAACCACGATCTCCACAGTGACTGCTTCATCGCCATGGTCATACACTCGCCGTGGCTCTGCCCGTGCTGCAGCCATGGGCCCATCCGAGGGTACAAGGGTACGTACTGCGACCTCTCCAGCCCAGGACCTGGTGCATCTCATGCCGGGGGAAGGGACCAAGCACCCGCTCCCTGCCCTCTATGTCTCCAGGGCCTGGTGCACAGCCGGCCGCCCCCTAGTCCAGACCTCTCCCTTGCACTCGTGCCTTGCTTAGAGCCAGAAGGGACGAAGCTTGGACATCCAGAGACTGGAGGAAGGAAGCAGATGGGAGAGGCAGCTAGACTGGGTTCTACAGAACTGGCTGGGTTTCTAACAGGGACGGAGGGCCGCTCAGACGCCCGCTGGGGGAAACCTGAGCAGGAGCCGAGGGGGAGGACCCTGGGGGCTGGCTGCCCTCCCTTCCGCCTCAGAAGGATGACAGAAATGGAGAGCAGAGGACCAGGCCCCCAGCTGTCTGGCCTCAGCCCTTCACGCCTTAACACTAAGCCCACAACCCTGCTCCTCTGCCCAACACTGGGCCATGGTTGCCCGGCCTGGGCTGGGCGATTTTCAGTATTTGTAAGCATCTCAATGGAACAATAAAGCATTTGGAGTATGTGTTTGGGAAGCCAGGTTGTATGGGATATGGGGCTAGGTGTTCCCCGCAAAATAGGATTTCCTCCTTACTGGAGTTCCAGGAGGGACAAGGGCACACAGCCCATGACTTCCAGGTCCCTACCCTGACCACTCCAAGGACTGGCTCTGGGTGGGGTATGGGGTCTCCAGAGGCAAGAAAAGGTGGGGACTCACGCAGACGTTTAATGAGGCAGACGTGGCAGGAGGCTGAGCAGGGCAGTTGTGAGGCACCAGGAAAGCGGTCTGGGTCCCCGAGCTCAGTCGGTCGCCGCAGCGGTCCAGGAGCATCAGGACCACTCCACTGGTCCAGCCAAAGCCCTCCTGGAGAGAGGAATGGCTAGTGGGGCAGGATCTCTGGGGAAGGCCCTCAAGCCCTATTTTAGGGGGTGTGAGATCTCCACCCAGGGGCTCTAGAACTGCCTAACCCCAGGAGGACAAAGGAGCTCCAGGCAGGCTCCTCCCTGTGGACCCACACCCACAGGAGGAAACCGGCCCAGACAGCGGAGGTCATGGCCAGTTGCGGGGACAGCAGAGCCCTGTAGTTCCTATGGGATGCGGGCCCGCTCACCTGAACTTCATACTCCCCTCCACCACCTGGCTGACCACCGTTGCTGATGTCATACTGGGAACAAAAGGACAGGCTCTAAGGTCAGGCACTACCCACCCCACCCCCGCGCCCCCTCACCTCAGCCCTCTAGGGAAAGCCAGAAATGGGAGCCCCTGTGGGAGAAGCTGCCCTGGCCTGCAGTGCCCAAGAATGGCCACTGGGTGTCACCACTGTCCCCGGGCCTTGCAAAGCCTGGCAATTCCCCCATCTCCCCATGGGGAGGAGGCCCAGGAGCAGCTCACCTTCTCATACATGGCTGACTTTCTGGAGTAGACCTCAAAGTTGGTTCGGATCCAATTCTGAGCCAGCTGGAAAGCCACTTCCTGAGCCCGAGGTGAAGGACACTTGGCCAGACCTAGACCCCACCCCGCCCCAGGCAGGACCCTGAGCCACCTGAGTCCCCAACCCAGAGGGAGCATAGGCCTGAACCTTACTCTCCTCAAGGAGGGAAAGAGGCCCGAGCCTCAAGACCTCCATCTTGAAACCACGTGAACAGCTCTTTCCCCAGGGCCTGGGTTTGGAGAGAGAAAGGAGGGCTGGTTCCCTGGACAGGTGGGGGCAGGTACAAATATCTGCTGAGGGGGAAGCCATGAGAACAGAAGAGCCAGAGAAGGACCTCACATCCTCTGTTCACACCTCCCCAGTACCAGGGGGCTGACCCTCTAGATGCAAGGAGGGCGGGCCCTGGGATGTGCCCCACTGCTGCCTCCCTACCTCTGATGACCAGGTCCTGCAAGGGGGCCCAGGCACTGGGGAAGTCCCACTGCTGGCCTGTCTTCTGGAGAGAGGTCGGGATCCCACACTGGTAGGTCAAGATCTGGCTGTCCTAGAAGGTTCCAGACATTTCTCGGACCGTGGGTGGGGACTGGATGAGGAGCCAAGGGGCCGGGCCCTCCTAAAGCCAGATGGTCCCCTTCCTGGACTTTCTCTTTTTGGCTCACTGCCGCCCCCTGGTGGCTCCAGCGGGACCTGCAGGCTCAGGCACAGGGGTGGAGCAGGAGGGAGTGGAGGTCACTAGCTCAGAGTCAGGGAGAGAGCAGGTGGTTCTGCCCCCAGTATACCAGCCCGCCCTGCTGCCCCCACCCCCCTCACCTCCAGATATTTGGGAGCCTTGTCCACGACTCCCGGGTCAGAGAAACAGCCAGACCAGAGAGGACTAAGGTTGGATGGGTAAAACTCAAGGTTCTTCCTTCTGTTCTCAAGGTCATAGTCAAACCAGGCACCTTTCTCATTCCACAGGATGGCTTTCATGGCAGCCAAGCGCTGTTCCCGCATATTTCTGTATTTTGTGGCTTGGAGGTCGTTCCCTGGGGTGACACTGTCTTTAGACTGAGCAACCTGGGTCCCGTGCCTTCAAGAGATCTACTTTGGCCTCCTCCTGTTGTCCTTCCCAAGGGCTAGAAATCCTGAGCGCCAAGGGGACATGCATACCTGGGGCCACATTTCAGGCCTCTAGGACCTGGAGTTTCCTGAGCAGACGGCCCTGTATAGCTCTCAGGACTTGCACTGGCCTGTTGCCAGGTCCCTCCTAGGAGGGCACTGGCCGTGTGTATTCCCCTAGCTCTGGCTGGGACAAAGCGAATGGAGGGAGTTTGAATGTGTGGACTGAGGTGCCCTCAGGGAACCTATAACTCCCTCCTGATGAGAAAGGGACCGTGAATGGAGAGTGGGCTCCATTTGTACTCTTGCTCCAGCAGTACCAGGGGCGGGGTACGGACCCTTCACCCACGGTCCTACTTCCAGCTCCAGGGCCAAGGCTGAGGTGGGACCAAAGCCGGCCGAGCACCGTTCTCCCTCTCCTCCTGCTGGCGAGCTCACCCGGTCTGGAGTAGAAGTCGCTCATCAGCTCCTCTGCCTGGCACAGGAAGGCATTGAGATCAACAGGCACGAGTTTGCTGGTCCGGATGCTGCTCGGCAAGTTGGGGTTCGGGCCTTTGACGAGCCAACGCGAGGAGAAGTCCCAGCCAGACTCGGCCCCAGCCTTGAGCTCAGCCCACAGAGCTTCCCGGTCCCCTGTGATGACGAGGCAGCAGCAGACCGGGGACCGGGGCCTGACACACAACATCAGGGTCCCAGCCCCACCCAGATGCCTGACCTCCGTGTCTTTGCTGTAAGACTCAGGCCTGGAGGAGGAAAGCGAGCGTCCTGGCACCAGGAAGCTCCAAGCCCAAGCTGGAGGCTGAGCCATGTTGCCTCAGCTGCCCTCGGCTTGTCTTTCGACAGCCCTGCATTGTCCTGGGCTTTTAGTATCACCATCGGAGACGTGGGGCTAAGTCACTGGCCCTCAAACCAGAGTGAACGATGAGAAACTGAGAGGCTGACAGAGCAGCTCCTTACCTGGGTCCCCCATAAGAGACAGAATAGTGATTCAGGACGTAGCTCTTCCCCCCCGAGCTCACAGAGACGTTCCTGTGCTCAGTCCAGAAGTCCAATTCCAAAGCTAAGGTCCCGATGTTGTCCCTGGGGTGGAGCCAGATACCGCCTTAGCCCAGGCACACCCCCTCAGTCCTGCCCTGGGAGGTCTCAGGGACGGGGGCCTGCAGGGCAGCAGGGGGCCGGGGTGCCCACCTCAGGAAGGCCGTATCGTTGGTGTGAGCCACGTAGGAGTGCATCATGAGAGTCAGCAGGGGGGGTGCTGGCTCCGCTGCAGGGAGTACACGTGGGCCCCGTTGGGGACATGTCCATAGCTGCCAAGGAGGAGACCTGCTGAGGAGCATCTGCCCAGCGGCCAAGGCCAAGGCCAAGGCCAATCCAGCGCCAAGCCCGTCCCCTCTTACAGTCGCACCAGGTCCAGGAAGTTCTGCAGCATTCCCTTCATGGTCTCGGGCATCTCAGAGAGGAACAGCTCCTCCATCACCCAGTAGGAGTCCCTGGGGAAAGGGGCAGTTCAGGCACCCACCCTCCCTCCCCGACCCCGCCACCCCCTGCCCTGCACACCCAGGCCAGTCAGGGTGCCCTACCCTGCTCAGGACAGCCCGCCGGCCCCGGGCTCCCCCACTCCCACCCTAAAGCCCCGGCCGCTCACCAGTAGTAGAATTCGACAAAGCGTCCACCAGACACAACGAAGGGGTGTTCTGAGTAGACAGGACTGCTCGGGGTGGCTGAGGACCTCTGGCTTCACCTGCAGTCAGGAGAGAGGGCACAGGGAGCCCAGGACCCCCACGGTGTGGAGTCCGGAAGAGGCCAGGTGGGGTGGGGGGGTCCCTGGCAGCTGCGGCTTTGGAGCCAGGGAGCCAGAGCACGAGTTCTGGCTCTGCTGCTGGTCAGCCGGGTACGGCTGAGGTCAAGGCCTGAGCTGCGGGAGCCTGGTCTGCTCGGCCCCACGTGGGGGCCTCTGGAGTCCTGACTGACCCAGCCCGGCCCTGGCAGGTGCTCACCAAACAATGGCCATTATCAGGACCGGCCAGGGGGACCACGTCCTCCACTCCCCTGGCCTCGTCTCTGGGGCCACCACCAAGCCAGGCCCAGAGACTCAGGGCCCGCATCCTCTGACCCAGGCGTGGAGTGTGAAAATGAATGAAAGGAAACCTCATTCACAACCTCCGGGAGGCTGGCAGGTGAAGCCCTCCTGCCCTGACTCTTTGTCAAGTGCAGATCCCAACTAGCAAGTGGATGCTGCCTTACTCTCCCAGCCGAAGGGGTAGGTTTCTTCCTCCCCAGCAACAGCCCAGCCAATGAGAGGCTGTCACAACTCAGCCAATGAAAAGCCACCGTACTCAGAAGGCCCCAGTTTACCGCAAAGGGCTTGTTGTTCGCAGCAGCCTTCCCAATGCCCCCCTTCCTCCACAAGGCAGCGTTCCTGTTCTGCGTTCTGCTGACTTGCCCACGGTTTCCCTGTGGTTTACTCAGCCCAGATGGCCGTTCTCTGCTGTTCCTAAACGAACCCCCTTTTGCGGGTGAAGTAACTGGCAGTTTTATTTGTAAGGAGAAAGGAAACCCCAAACTGCTTTCCCAGTGAGACAGGCGTACATGAACGTGGCCTCGGGAGAGCAACTGTAGGACCAGAGTAGAGATGGCTGCCTCCTTCAGGTACTTTCTCTGTTCATGGCCTCCTGGTTCTGTCCCAGTGAGTGTGGTTTCAGTGGGAGAGCGGTGGGCTGTCAGTTATTTTGAGGGGCGTCGTGGAAGAGAGCTGGGTTTGCTCCTGTGGGGCTGGGTGGGAAAGGGTCCTGGAGCACCACTCTGTGCCAGCGGGTGCCAGGGCCCCGGGGGCCGGCTGGGAGGACAGATGCTGTGCAGCCTCGGGCAAACCTCTGCCCTCTCTGAGCCTCAGACAAAGGAGAGAAAGTACATAACAGACAGTGCTGACCACAGGCCACAATCAGCAGTGGCAAATATTCCTGAGCAGAGGCCTGACCAGAGGAGATCAGGGAAGGGAGAGCCCATTTGGGCAGCCTGGAGGTGACAGGACAGGCTGAATTTGCCTGGGGGGAGGATGGTGAGGAGGTGAGAAGTTTGAAGTAGATGTTCCCTTCTACCCCTCCAGAAATTCCTTCTAGAGAACTCTTTTCAAGGACCCAGTGGATAGGGTACAGACTTTTAGGAAATGTCTCCCTCTCTGTGCTCTACAGGCAAAGTGAGCCCCAAGCCGGCGAAACCGTCTCCCAGCTCAGTACCCCCTGCCAACACCCAGGGCAGTCACACCTTCTTTCCCAGTTTCTTCCAGAGCTGGTGCAGCTGCTCCCCCCAGATTCGCAGCTTGGGGTCTGAGATCTTCTGCAGGAACCAGGGGCTGGAAGAACACCAACCGAATCCCCAGGGCTCAGGGAGACAGCCCTCTCTGAAGGGCCCTCTCTTGTTTTCTGTCCAGGCTGTACCTGTCCTTCCAGTCCTCGAGGGTCCAGGGCTGCAGCTCCTGCCCCGCGGCCTGGAAGTGTTCCTGGATGAAGGCGCGAAGCAGTGGTGTGGGAATGCTGTGGTTGTGGCGGGCGGCCAGCTCCCGGAAGTGCTGCAGAACTCGGTCTGGTGTGCAGGTGGCCAGGAGGGATCAGCTGGCGCCCAGGAGCCCCTCCCTGCCCGGCCCTGCGTCCCACTATCTTTGGTACAGAAGGTTCAGAAGGTGGGGCCCCCAGTCGCCTTACCTGGGGTCGAGGACAGTGGCATGTCCACAAACTGCTCGTCGTCCTGGTAGAGCTTCGCCATCTGAACCTGGTGCAGGAGCTCCCCATAGCAGTAAATCCGGCTGCCGGGAGTGTTGGGGAGGGGAGCAAGTCAGGCCACCCCCGGGAGGGGAGAGAAAAGGCTGGAGTGTGGGCATGTTCCCTGGATCGGACCAGGGCTGTGTGTGTACGCACCTAGCACGTGTGTGTGCATGTGTGGTAGGCGTGTGCGGGTGGTGGTGACAAACCAGGCTGAGAGAATGAGGACACTCTGCAGTACAGGATGTAAACAAGTACCCAAGCCCACACCGGGTGGTCATTTGGAACAGTGCGGAATACCCAGCGGGAACACGGAGACTACCACTGTCATCAGTGACTCGACAGAATGGGCTGGATGGATTCTCTGTACAGCGGGGCCTGTGTGAAAGGGATCAAAAGGGCTTAAGGCCAAATCCCGTAAGTTACACCCAGTGACAATTGCTGAGACCTTGGACCAGAAAACCTGCAGGTGTGGGGCAGGATGTATGCCCCTTGGAAGACAACTACGGGCCTGCTGTTGGGTGTTTGTGGAAACCAGTTCTCTGACTGAAGGATGGAAGACATTCCTAAGGCCTGAAGTAGCTCTAATGTCCTGTCAGAGAAACACTCTGATAAAGAAGGCAGTGCCCATGGGTGCCCTGGTGGCTCATGATTTTTTTTGAAGTTTGTTTATTTTGAGAGACAGAGTGAGATCACGACCTGACCCAAAATGAGGAGTCAGACACTTAACCGATGAGCCACCCAGGCACCCTGTGACTTCACGATTTGTGAGTTCGAGCCCCACATGGGCTCTGTGTTGATAGCATAGAGTCTGCTTGGGATTCAATCTCTGCCTCTCTCTCTCTGCCCCTTCCTGGCTTACTCTCTCTCTAAATAAATAAATATTAAAAAAAAAAGTGGCAGTGCCCCCAAAGGGTTCCTCAATACAGTGGAAACGTTTTATGCAGGGATGTGCTACGTGGGGCTTCGTGGGCAAGTCACCTCCTTTCCCGCAGGACCATGGGAAGCACTGAGGAGCCACGGGGAGGTGCCCTGTGGACAGCTCTCTGTGACCAACAAAGAGCTGCTTGGTTACCGATGGCAGCTCCAAGGCAGACAGACAGTATCTTGTTTGGAAGGCCAATGCACTCCGACCAACTGATGGAAATCTTTGAAGCATGAAAGAACGAATCAGCTCAGTGGGCTGAACTGCATGCTGTTTCCCTTGCAGTGATGGAAGAAGTGAGTGCAAAAAGTCCCTAGGTTGGGGTTTTTACTGACTCACAGGCAGGGAAAAACTGGACTCATCAAGGGGATGCCCGTATGGGGCATAACCCTCGGGAAATCACTCTGGAAATTCAAGGGGCATGATAAAGTAGGCTTTACATACCTGATTATAGAGGAATATGCTTAAAATACTACATCGGAACAGAAGATACTGTGCCAATTTGGTCGGCACACAGTCCCAACAATGGACCGAGAGATCATGTCAAATGGACACATCATGTGGCTTATCACCTTCGGAGTGGTGGCTCCATACAGAATCGGAACAGGCAAATGAAACTTTTCTTGTTTAAAACGGGAAGGGGTGCCTGGGTTGCTCAGTCGGTTGGGCGACTGACTTCACTCAGGTCATGATCTCACAGATTTTGAGTTCAAGCCCCATGTCGGGCTCTGTGCTGATAGCTCAGATCCTGGAGCCTGCTTTGGATTCTGTGTCTCCCTCTCTCTCTGCCCCTCTCCCGCTCATGTTGTCTCTCTCCTTCAAAAATAAACATTAAAAACTTAAAAAAAATAATAAAACAGGGAGAAATTGGGGCACCTGGGTGGCTCAGTTGGATAAGCATCTGACTTTAGCTCAGGTCATGACTCACAGTTTATGAGTTTGAGCCCCACATCGGGATCTGTGCTGACAGCTCAGAGCCTGGAGCCTTCTTCCGTTTCTGTGTCTCCCTTTCCCTCTCATACTGTCTCTCTCAAAAATGAATAAAACATTAAAAATTAAAATGGAGAGAAATAAAAGCATGAGGGGCTGGCTTACATAGCTTCATAAGTGTGTGCTCACACTCAGCATGGGATGAGGGCCAGAGGAGTGTCCCCACTGGATATATTCCTCTGGTTTTCTGGGGGATGGGTGGAGAGGTTGCTGGTGGGTCTATACAATTCTTTCCCACACCATCTCAACTTACCTTTTGCCTACACAGTGGACCAGACTGCCATGTGGTGCCAGAAGCATGAATGATCCCTGAGCAAGAAACTGTAGCTATCTTTTCAAATCTTTTTTTAAAATATTTATTTCTTTATTTTGAGCAGGGGGGAGAGGAACAGAGAGTGAGAGAGACAGAGAATCCCAAGCAGGCCCGAGTTGTCAGCACAGAGCCTGACGCAGGGCTTGAACTCACGATTCATGATATCACGACCTGAGCTGAAATCAAGAGTTGGATGCTTAACCAACTGAGCCACCCAGGTGTCCATCTTTTCAAATCTTTATGTCAGAATTCCCAAGGGCCTGGTGGGGCGACTTGTGCCCATAGCTCATCTGGCTAACTGGGGGCTAACAATGAATGCAGCTATACTCTCTAGTGGTGGGAATAGCCACTCATTCTGGGCCTTGTAACTCTATCCTGAACAGATGAGAGGAAACTAGGGAAGGCACTAGCAAGACTGGTATTGCTGTTGGAAATCTGGATAAGTACAGTGGCCAAACCTAATGTCTCTTCAAAGGTTGAAAAGTTTAGTGAAAATCAATGACAAATGGAAAGAAGGTAAATGACAGCCAGGGACTTAATCAACACAGATACAAACAAGATGTCTGAACCAGAATTTAGAATCACAATAATAAGAGTACTAGCCGGGGTTGAAAAAAAGCATAGACTCCCTTTCTGTAGAGATAAAATAAGTAAAATCTAGTCAGGATGAAATTAAAAATGCTATAACTGAGATGCAATCTCAAATGGATGCCAGGGTGGCAAGGATGGATGAGGGAGGGCAGCAAATCAGTGACATAGAGGACAAACTTCTGGAGAACAATGAAGCAGAAAAAAAAAGAGGGAAACTAAGGCAAAAGAGTACGATATAAGACTTAGAGAACTCAGTGACTCATTAAAAAGGGATAACATCCGAATCACAGGAGTCCCAGAAGATGAGAAAAAGGGGCAGAAAGTTTATGTGAGCAAATCATAGTGGAAAACTTTCCTAACCTGGGGAAAGACACAGACATCAAAATCCAGGAAGCACAGAGAACTCCCATTAGATTCAACAAAAATCAACCATCAAGGCATATCATAGTCAAATTCACAAAATACTCAGGCAAGAAAAGAATCATGAAAGCAGCAAGGGAAGAAGAGTCCTTAACCTACAAGGGAAGACAGATCAGGTTTGCAGCAGACCTATGCACAGAAACTTGGCAGGCCAGAAAGGAGAGGCAGGATATATTCAACGTGCTGAATCAGAAAAACATGCAACCAAGAATTCTTTATCCAGCAAGGGTGTCATTCAAAATAGGAGGAGAGATAAAAAGTTTCCCCAGACAAAAACTAAAGAAGTTCATGACCACTAAACCAGCCCTGCACGAAACTTTAAGGGGGACTCTCTGAGGGGAGAAAAGACAAAAAAAAAAAAAAAAAAAAAAGACAAAAGCAACAAAGACTAGAAAGGACCAGAGAAGATCCACCAGAATCTCCAACTCTACAGGCAACATGATGGCAATAAATTCATATACTTCAGTACTCATTCTAAATGTCAATGGACTAAACACTTCAATCAAAAGGGTAATAAAAATGGATAAGAAGACAACTGGAAAGAAGGAGACATGGCAGATGAGGGCAGAGAGGTGAGTAAATGGATATTCAATGAAAATGGGAAATCTAGCATGACATTAGTGCCTGGAGAGAGCAAGAGGTTAACACTGTCCTTAGCACAGTTGTATCAGATGCCTGGGAGGGTGAGGCCATGAGTCTGCCATGACCACTCTGCCTTTGGAACCTGACGAAGTTGAATGGAAGCCTGCAGACATGACTGGAATCTCTCTGGGAGGCATTCTGGTTTTAGGATACGATAATGAGCTGAGCTGCTGATGACTGAAGGGAACTCTAGTGACGTGCTAACATCTTCTGACTTCAAGTTTTTAGATTACACTTACTACGAAGAATATCAGTTGGGGAGGAATTTCCCAGAACAGCTCCCCACTGGGCCTTTAGACTGTGTGGTTTACAACTCTTGGCAGATTAATTGCTGTGTAACATAAACCTTGATAATCAAATACTTGGAAAGGCCCCTGATGTCAATGGACAAAACAGAGTAGCACGTGCAGTGTGCTATAAGCACAAATGCAGATCACCCTTGTTTTTGTGAACAGAAAGCTATTAAACAGGAGAGAATAAATGGGTTTCTTGTGGGATTAAAGCAGTAGGCATCATACAGTGTGTCTAAATTCCCCTGGGGAATAGCCCCATCAGGGATGAGAAAGGCTATGGGAGGCCTTATGGCATACTCAAAATAAAGTGCATCTAGGCGTGACTACCACTTATCTAACTCACCGTATCTGAGCTGCACTCAGGCTTTTAGTATCTAATGGCAACAACATGCACGGTAGATTAAACAACTTTGGACCATGAGGCATAAAAGAGCTTTGGGGGATATAGGTCCCCCACTGTTGAACAAACTGAATTTGCTTTTAATGAGGAGAGGCAGAGGAGAAATACTTATTAACTAGAATAAGCAGATGAGAAGGAGTTCTCTCTTCCAGGAGGGAAGCGAAGGATGGGAGTCAGACCAGGTAGATGATGAGGCTTTAGTGAAATGGGTCAGGGCAAGGCAACACATAATGCTGGATGATGCCAGGATCCAGCACTGGGAAAGGGCCTGTACCCTCACCCAACAGGGCCTCTGGACTATTTTAATGCTGATGGGACCCAATGTACACATGCATCAGTGGCCTTCCATTGTAGCTACTGAGGCTCAAGGGCCACGTCTCTGGGAATTTAGAGGCCTGACAACCTCGTTCTCTGGACACTCGATGCACTATGACTGCCCTTGCTCCAAGAATAGATCGGAAGAAGACATACCCTGTAGTACAACCATCAGGGATAGGAACTATTCTGAATACCACCCAGGTCCTCCCATAGGAAGGAGGCGGGTCCTGTCCTGAGATGCCTATGAACAGAGAAGGGTGACTGGCTTTGCCTCCAATGGACTTGGAACCCAGAAATAACAGATAATAATTTGTTATAATAAATAATAAAATCATGGCTATTTGTAATGATGCCTGTCCATAATAATATCTGGTATAAGGTTTGAGTCCAATGAGAAGGATCAGAGAATACCTCCGTAATTCTTCCAGATTTGTTCTGTAATGAAACAAAATTGTACTGTGACCGTACCAGGATATGGTGTAATACTGGTATTATCGGTACGATTCAACCACCTTATGTAAATTAGCCACATGATCACACTGATACTGATGACCGAGTATGTTGGGACATTGAGTTAAAAGCCTCCTCAGAATGTAAGACCAGTGGGAAATGCCTGGCCTGAGGAAGAACTGGATTGAGCTAATTTCTATGCTAAGTAGTTCTGCACAAGTTTACCTAAGATACAAATAGTGGCAGATCAAGGAAGGAAATGAGTAATCAAATCAGTACAAATATACAAAAACGTATGTAAAGGTGTTATAGGCTGGTTGTTAAAATAGTTGTTTCTTTCAGTCTGCCCCTAGTCTGCACTGACTCCTCCAAAGGTTAGGCACACTCATGCCGATATACTGCTATACCTGTTACATAATTGCTATACTAAATGCAGATGCTCGAGGATGCCTGGGTGGCTCAGTGGGTTAAGTGTCCGACTTTGGCTTAGGTCATGACCTTGTGGTTCACGGGTCAAGCCCCACATTGGGCTCTGTGCTGACAGCTCAGAGCCTGGAGCCTGCTTTGGATTCTGTCTCCCTCTCCTTCTGCCCCTCCTCACTCATGCTGTCTCAAAAATAATAAACATTAAAAAATATAAATAAATAAATGCAGCTGCCCAAATATGACAATTATGCTATAAGAAAGCCCAGGCCGAGGGGCAGAGGGGTGGTGGACAGATTTAACTTCTGATGCTGACCATCTCGAGTTAGTGCAGACTCTGGATGCTTAAGACAGTCTCTAATAAAACTGCCCTCGCTCAGTTCACTTTCACAAGACATATAGGGAGGGTCCCTCAACACGGAGCTTCTGTGTCCTCTCCCCGTGGAATCAGGATTTATCACCCTCCTGGCGCTTCAGTGTGTTCACCAAATAGGATACTCCATTGAGTCTTGGTGTCCAGAGTTTTTATTAGGTTTCCACCACATGGGCATGATTGACTGAATCACTGGCCATGCGATTGAACTCAATCCCCGGCCACCTTCTCCTCCCCAGAGGTTGGGCTGATATCACATGACCCAAAGTTCCAACCCTCTAATCATATGGTCAGTCTTTCTGGCACAGTCTGCCCCCATCCTGAGACATCTCATTAGTATGACCATCTAAGGGCTCACCATGAGTCACCTCATTAATGTAAACTATCAGAGCCCACCCTAATGCCCAAGACTCTCCCATCACTTGGGAAATTCCAAGAGCTCAGAGGTTACATTGCAGGAAAATGGGTCGAAGCACTGCCACGTTCTTTGTTATACAGCAGACTACCCTCTGATCTTTGGCAAAGGGTCCGTTTTAGCAAAATATTCCTACCTGTTTGAGCATCTACATTTGGTGTAGCATTTATGTAATAGATAAAGCAATTAGTATCAGCACAAATATACCTAACATTTAGAGCTAGGGTAGGGATAGGCGGCTTTTAACTCAACTTCCCAATACATTTGACCATCAAGATTAATATTATAATCTAACCAACATCGTTAGTGTTTCACCATATCGTACTATGGTAGATATAAGCTGAAAAGAAGGTCGAAGATGTTGGCATACTACTCAAGTCTCATATAGTCATGAATAATTAGTCTACTCCATCATCATATCTTACGGCCAAAATGTTTCCTGGCGAGGCCACTCAGGTTTGCAGGCTTCTGTTTGATCTTGTCAGGTTCCAGGGCAGGAGTGATTTCAGCAATATGTACATTCACCCTTTTTAAAAAAATTTTTTTTAATTTTTAAAATGTTTGTTTTTGAGAGACAGAGACAGAGACAGAGTGTGAGCAGGGGAGGGGCAGAGAGAGAGGGAGACAGAATCCAAAGCAGGCTCCAGGCTCTGAGCTGTCAGCACAGAGCCCGGTGTGGGGCTCAAACCCACGAACTGCGAGATCATGACCTGAGCCAAAGTCAGATGCCCAACCAACTGAGCCACCCAGGTGCCCCACATTCACCCTTTTGAACGGAGAACAGCATCACTTCTTGCTCTGAGCCTCTTTTAAAGTGTTAACATAGGGGCGCCTGGGTGGCTCAGTCAGTTCAATGCCCAACTTGATTTTGGCTTTGGCTCAGGTCATGATCTCGCGGTTCGTGAGTTCGAGTCCTGCATCGGGTTCTGTGCTGGCAGCGCAGAGCCTGCTTGGGATTCTGTCTCTCCCTCTCTCTCCCCCCACCCCCCACCCCCCACCCCGCCGAAAAGGGCTTTCTCTCTCTCAAAATAAATAAACTTAAAAAAATTAAAGTGTTAATGTAATAGTGGATTTCCTTCATTGCATTATTATCAATCCACTCACTCATTTCTTTACCTGCGGCTACTGTTTCTCCTTCTCTCCATTTATATCCAAACTTTTCAACCTTTGGAAAGGACACTACGTTCAGCTGCTGTGCTGGGCCAGGTTGCAGGCAGCAAGGTTAGTGCAGCAAGTGCCTCCCCGCAGTCCTCTCCCACGCACAGGTGCCGCACAGGTGCGCTTTGGCTGGGCCATTCCTACCCTGTTCCCGAATACAGCCGCATTCAGACATGACCCCCACTTAGCCAGATGGGAAGGCACAACACCCCCCATCAGGCCCTTAGAAATTAGGACATAACAGTTGAAGGGTATAGTTACATTTTCTTGCTTGGGAACCATCCTTACTTCGGACACATGGGAGCTGCTGCCTTGCTCCTGGGATCTCTGCATCGGGTGGAGAAAAGAAGGTTGAAGAAATGTGGGGAAGAAAGAAAAAAGCGTCGTCATACCATCGTCTCCCTCCTATGGAAGAATCGCATGGGCATACCAGCCTCCTCTGCACCCCTCTTCCCTAGAGTCCCCCGAAAAGCAGAGCAGTCTGGCTGGCAGCCACCCTCCCGGGACCCCCTCACGGTGAGTTTTGAGCACACACTTGTGAAGCCGTGTCGGCCGGCCCTTCCTGTCTGTCTCCCCGTTTCCGACAACCAATGTTGTAACTGTCCATCCCAGCTCTCTATCAGACCATCACTCGGAGGATCAAAGTGTGTTCCCTGTCTGAAAAAATGTAACTCAGTGGTCCAAACTGTTGCAGTCTCTTCTGTTCTGGTCCTTTTACGGTATTTTGAGCATTTACAGCTACACCCAGTTCAGGGTCACTGTCTGATCGTGCCGGGTCTGCCAGCATCAGTCTCACTGGCCAGCTCCATGGGTGTCCTTCCCTCCAGGGAACCTGCCCCGCAGCCACGTGGAGCCCGTCTCTCTGGTTGACAGAACAGCTCTTCTCGGCATTTTGTGCCTCAGGGGGTGCGAGTGCAAGGTATCTAGATTTGGCCCACCTCTGCATCCCTGCAAACTCCCGACATCCCATCGGTTCGTGAACCCAAATGGCCACCTCATGGGAACGCACTGGGACACCTGCTTGCTGGCTCTAGTCACTTTCCAGTCTAGGAAGGGAGGTTTGTTTTTTTTTTCCTTGACGTTTTTATTCATTTTTGAAAGACAGAGACAGAGCACGAGCAGGAGAGGGGCAGAGAGAGAGGGAGGCACGGAATCCGAAGCAAGCTCCAGGCTCCAAGCTGTCAGCACAGAGCCCGATGAGGGCCTCAAACTCGCAAGCCGTGAGATCATGGCCTGAGCTGAAGTCGGACCCTTAACCGACTGAGCCACCCAGGCGCCCCATAGGAGGGGGGTTTTCTGATGGGCATCGGCGGTTCTACCTCCGGGAACCCCGCAAATTCCCATAGTGACTTCCGTAGGACCGTGCCACACAGGGCACTGTTTCTACAGACCACGTTCCCATTGCCCTTCTGCCTGACCGTGCGGCCAGGACGGGGGTCACTGACTAAGCACAGGTAAAGGCCCAAACACAGTGGCAAACAGCATGCAGTTCAGCCCACCAAGCTGATCTGGTTTTGTCATCTCTGATCAGAACGGCAGCCTTTCGCGGCGGTTTGTTCACCTCGGAACGACCGTCCACGAACCAAGCAGCTCTCTGTTGGTCAATCAAGAACTGTTTATAGGGCACTTTCCCGGTGGCAATAGTATCCAGAGCCCCTCGGGGCACCTGGGTGGCAGGCGGTTAAGCATCCAACTCTTGATTTCGGCTCACGTCATGATCTCATGGTCTGTAAGATCGAGAGCCTCGCATCAGGCTCTGCATTGACAGCGTGGAACCTGCTTGGGATTCTCTCTCTCTCTCTCTCTCTCTCTCTCTGCCCCTCCCCCACTCGCATACATACGTGCTTTCTCTCAAAATAAATAAATAAACTTAAAAAAAAAATCCAGAGCTCCTCAGGTGGTTCCAGAGTCAGTTCTGGGAGAAGGGCATCTATCTGCTCTCGAGCACATGGAGTTAACCTTACATTCCCCTAGCAGCACGCTCCTGCATGAACCACTTCCATGGCCTTATGGAACCCTGCTGGGCACCGCCCTCCCTCTTACCTCATGTTTCCAACACCACCCAAGATGTTACGGGCATGTCAGATTTTAAGATTATGTTCCGTCCTTTAAGAGAGGAGGTCTGAATTCACGTCTGATAGCAAGTTAGTAATTGCCTCTCAAATGGACATTCTCTAGCCCAAAGTCTGGCCGGCTGGGAGGGGCCCCAAGACTTCCACTATAACTGCAGCCTATGCTCCACAGAAGGATGTGATCTGTGTGACCTCAGGCAGTCTTCCCGGCGCCCATTGAGAATGTCCAATGAAGACAGCAAGCGGTAGCATGATGGCAGATGTATATGCCTTTTGCTTTATAATCCTAGAGAGTGGAAACACTCCCCACTCAGACACAACATCCACCCCTGTAACACATTCAGGCAAAACAGATACAATCACTTCGCATGAAAACTATTCAAACACACCAACGGCACTTTCCCCATAGTCCCTTCCACCCTTGTGTTCCTAACCGTGGCTTTGCCAACAGGTTTTCACTTTACGATACTGCTCGGGGCAAGTGTTCCCCGGTCAGATGTGGAAGCCATTGCGAGACAACATTCAGGGGAAGGAGAAACAACCCGTCAACGTAAAGTCTGTCTGAACATTGCACTTTCCATCCAAGCATTCACCTTGATTGCCAAGGCTTGCATTTTCACGTCCTCCGAATATGACTCACCAGTGCTCCTGCTACCGCGGCGCATGGGACCCCATGTCACAGACTCCAGGACCTTCCATACCCTCTGACCATTTTGCCCACTCCCAGGCAGGGGACAGAGCTAAGGGACCCTGACACTGTCACCAATCTTTATCTTAACTTGTGTGGCCACTGCCTCAGTGGATTGGAGGTCAGCTTTCTCATTACCTGCTTTGCCTTGCAGTTTTCTGAATCCCTCCAGAGTAGGGTAAATGGAGATGTGTTTAGGTCCCTCGCATCTTGGGGGGGGGGGGTGCAGCAGGTCCAATCGGTCCACTCAATTTCTAAGTGCTGCATTAACAACTTTCTTTGGACCGTAGCCACAGCTGCTTTATTCACCCCATCTTTTTTAAAGTTTATTTATTTGAGAGAGAGGGAGAGAGGGAGGGAGAGGGAGAGAGAGGTGGGGGGGAGGGAGGGAGGGAGAGAGGGAGGGAGGGAGAGGGGCAAAGGGAGAGAGAGAATCCCAGGCAGGCTCCACACTGTCAGCACAGAGCCCGATGCGGGGCTCGATCCCATGAACCACGTGATAAAAACCTGAGCCAAAACCAAGAGTCAGACGCTTAACTGACTGAGCAGCCCAGGTGTCCCATGCCCCACTTCTTAATAACTGTTTAAAGACTCTGCCCTGCTGGGATGGGCCCAGTGGCTCTCTCCCCTCTATCTATCCTACTTTCTTGGGAATCAGTCTAATCTTCATTCGTCATTTTAGAATTATTTTTTTCCCCTTTGGAAATGACTCTGAGTCCAGGGCCACACCTAGGCCAGCCAGAATCAGGATCTTCCCCAACACATTCCTTAGGCGGGGGCCCTGAGACGAGAGGCTATTATGGTTTGGACTGGCCAGAAGCAAAGCCTGGCCCGTCTCTCACTCTCATGTTTGCCATTAGAGCATAATAATAACGAAAGGATCGCATTTCTCCCCCCTATTATTCTGCATTTCCTTAGGCATCCAGTGGGACAACACCCTGGGCCCTGGACCCATCATTTCTAAATTCCACTGACAACTTTCACCTCCAGGAACTGATCCCAATACAGCTGCTGTTCCAAACCACGGGTGACCTGGCAGCCACCCAGGAATCAAAGGGTCCTCATCTCCTGTCCTTTCGTCTTGCTTTTCCCGAGCCACCTGTTCCAGTGAATCGAGGTCATTCTAGCAAATGACACGTTTTGTCACATTGATGACAGTATTGCAATCTAATCTCAGTACTAACCAACTAGCTCAGGCCGTGGGCACAGTCCCCAACAAGACTGCCCTCAGTTGGGGCTCCAAGTTCAGGGCTTCCCAGGCTTCCACTACTTCTGACCAACTGGCTACAAATTTGGAGGTTCCCTAAACCCATGAGGTTCAATAATGTGCTAGAATGACTCACAGAGTCAGCACTATCCTTATTATTACAGTTTTATTCTAAAGATACAAATCAGGATCAGCCAAATAAAGACACACGGAGAAAGAGGTCCGGGATTGTCCTGAATGCAGACCTTCCCTGTCTTCACCTCAAAGAACCCAGACATACCACCCTCCTGGCACATCAAAGTGCTCACCCAACAGGACACTCCCCCGAGCTTTGGTGTCTAGAGTTTTTATACACACCATTGGTTCAATCACTGGTCATGTGACTGAACTCAATCTTCAGCCCCCTCCGCCCTCAGAGGTCAGGAGGTCAAGTTGATATCCTGTGACCCACAGCCCCAACCCTCCAATCACATGGTCCATCTCTCTGGCATGGCCTGAGACATCTCATCAGCATGACCACCCAGGGGCTCACCACGAGTTACCCCATTAATGTAAACTATCAGCACCCACCACGAATACCAAAGACTCTCCTATCCCTTCGGAAATCCCAAGAGCTTAGAGGTTATATCCCAGGAACCCAAGACAAAGACTAAATATGTTATTCATTGTAGAACAAGTAGCTTGTGCAGCAAAAAGTTGACTTAATGGGTTTGCTGTGTTCCCACCCTACACATTTCAAAGCCAGCACAGCGTGTGCCCAGCTCCTGAGAAATAAGCCATAACCTACTGGATTTCTGTCTGATAAATCTTTATGTGGGGCCTTGGGCCACACCAGACATTTTACACTAATAATGTGATTTATGGTGGGGACTGAGAGCCCCCAGTATCCCTCTGACTTAGAGGCCTGGAGACTGAGTAATTAAGGTCAGGCATACAGATACTCCAAGCCTCTATAACTGAACCCCAGTGAAAGCCCTGAACACAAGACCCAGGGGAGCTTCCTGGTTGACCATACTTCACGCAGGTTGTCACACGTGCTGCTGGAAAAAGTGAATGCTGTTCATACAAGTCCACCGGCAGAGGACAACTGGATCTCATGTCTCTTCTCTCTCGGGACTCTGCCCTATGTGCCTGTTGCCTTTCCCAATTTTAATCCGCATCCTTTCACTGGAATAGACTGTAACCATAGATGTAACTGTGTGGTGGGTACTAGCAAATCGCCGAAGCCGTGGGTGGTCTTACTGACCCCTGACACAGTCTTCTTTCCATACTTTTGGCAACCAGCCTCGCACTTGACAAAACTCTTGATCACACAGCCTCTCTGAAATCCTTATTACAATTGCTCAGGACAAAAATCTCTGCATCATCCCGGGTAACCCCCTTCCCTTTATATTCCACGATCATCGGCTCCACCCTCAAAATACATCCCAGACTGAACCACTTCTCACTTTTCTGGTCCTACCACTGGCGCCCAAGCCCTGGTCCTCCTCTGTTCCCACCCCTGCCCCAGCCTTCTTCCTGATCCTTGAACATGACCTCAGAGCCTTTGCACTGCCGTTTCTGTGCCTGGACGGTCTTCCATATCTGCACAGAGACGGTTCCATCTACGATTCTGTTCAAACGTCTCCTCACAGACGCCTTCTCCCTGCATCCCTCTGCACTGCTGTGCCCTCTGCTGGCCCTGACCAGCCCCCTCACTTCATTTTACTTTTTGTTGTGCTTCCATCGGCACTCTCCCTGCTAATTACGCAAGGTCCAGGAAGATGGGGATCTCGATTCTCTCGATTCTCTCGTTTGCTGCCACAGCCCGAGACATCATGAGAGCGCAAGAGAGCCATTGAAATGAGAAAAGGATGATGCCCTGTGAGTCTAGGAGGCAGGACAGGGCCACTTAGGTCTCTTATTTTGGAAATGGGAGCTATGGCTCTACAAAGAGCTCTGACCTGCTCTAGGTCACAGAGGCCAAACTTAGGAGCACTTTTCAGGTTCTTACACTGCTGCTCACCTCCAGGCAGGGAAGCTGGGCAGAGAGTTTCCCAGAACAACCCTGAGAAGAGCATGGCTTGGGGAAGAGCCTGGAGGGAGGGGTTGAGGGGAGGGAGGACGCTGGCCAGCAGGTGCCTGGGTTGGGAGGCAGCACCCTCTTCCCCCAGCCTGCTACACAAGGAAAGCTGACATCCTTCCCTCCCCTTCCCTCGGAAGGACTGACCCTCAGCGCCCGAGATCCCACCCCAACCTCCTTCCTCAGCTGCTTCCCCACTCCTACCTGTCACAGGGCGGGGGCAGGGCACCCTGGGACCCCAGCCCCAGCAGAAGCAGCTGGCACAGCATGAAGGCCCTCCCAGGCATGGTGACTGTGGCCTCAGCCAAGGAGTAAGCCCAGGTACCCCTTGCTTGCAGGGGCGCAGGCTGACTCACCTGCCTACCAGGGCTGCCAAAGTCCACAACTGAGGCGTGGCCACCTGGGCGCTGTATGTCAGGTCTGCGTGGCCTTGCTGTCCCGGCTCAGCTTGCAGAAGCCGACCCCTGCTCCCCACTGTGGACTTTTCCTCTTCGTTTCTTAGTCTCAGCGGGTGCCACCTGCTCAAGCCCTTCCCTCATGTGGTGGGGTGGTGGTGGGTGACTGGGGTGCCCCGGTGTCTGGGGCACAAGTTGGTCCCACATCTGTGACCCAGATGCCAATCGCTCTGGTGGCTCCAAGATCACCACGGCAGAGAGTTACCTTTTCCTTTAACATCTCAAACAGAATGGCTCAAGGTTCCGTCCCACGTGTGGATCGATGGCTTGGGCCTGAAATGACATTGGGGTGGGGGTGGGGGGGGGGAAGGGCACATGGGAAGATATACTCTGGAAACCTGTCACCATTTGAGATTAGTGACTGCGTGACCCTCCCTTTAGGACTCAGCCTCACTGTCCAGGAGGTCAGTTGTGGTGCCTGAGAACAGTATCCGTCACACGACAAAAGGGCCCTGTCCCTCTCCACTGCCCTGGTAGCGTGCCCCCTTCCATCCTGCCTCCAGATGCTACATGCTTCCTTCCTTCCTTTTTATAAGTGTTTTTCTTGTGGTTAAAACAGGTATCACATAAAATCTGCCATTTCAGCCATTTTAAAGTGTATAATTCAATTTATATTACATTCACAATATTTTGAAACTATTGCCACTCTTTATTTTCAAAACTATTTTTTTTTCAACATTTATTTATTTTTGGGACAGAGAGAGACAGAGCATGAACGGGGGAGGGGCAGAGAGAGAGGGAGACACAGAATCGGAAACAGGCTCCAGGCTCCGAGCCATCAGCCCAGAGCCCGACGCGGGGCTCGAATTCCCGGACCGCGAGATTGTGACCTGGCAGAAGACTGCGCCACCCAGGCGCCCCAAAACTATTTTTTTTATCATCCCAAAGAGGGGTGCCTGGGTGGCTTGGTTGGTTAAGCGTCCGACTTCAGCCCAGGCCATGATCTTGGGGTTCGTGGGTTCAAGCCCCACGTCACGCTCTGTGCTGACAGCTTGGAGCCTGGAGCCTGCTTTGGATTCTGTGTCTCCCTCTCTCTCTGCTCCTCCCCTGCTCGCACTCTGTCTCTCTCTCTCTCTCTCAAAAATAAATAAAACATTAAAAAAATTATCATCCCAAAGATACATTCTATAACCATCAGGCAGTAAGTCCTCTCTTCCCATGGCCCCTGGAAGCCACTATTCAACTTTCTGTGTCTATAAATTTACCTATTCCAGACACTTAATGTAAACGGAATTTATTCCTAGGTATTTTATTTTTTAGCTGTTTTTGCACATGGGATTGCTTCTCAAATTTCCTTTTCAGGTTGTTCTTGGCAGATGTGTGGAGACACAACTGATTTTTTTGACTGGTGATTTGCGTCTGCAGCTTTGCTGAATCTGTTTATTAGACCCAGCAGCCTTCCTGTGGATCCTTGGGATTTTCTATATACAGAATCATGTCATCTGGGAATAGATATGCTCTTCCTTTCCAATTTGCATGCTTTTTTTTCTTGTTCTTGTTCTGTTGTTCTGCTAGAACTTCTGGTACAACGTTGAATAGCAGAGGTGATTGTTGAGGATTTTCCATCACATGCATAAAAGATATTGGACTGTAATTTTCTTGTCATGTGATATCCTTACACGGTATACGCATTAGGCATTGCTGGTCTCTAGGAGGAGTTAGGAATGTTTCCTCCTCTTCCATTTTGGAAGATCTTGAGAAGGGTTGGTGTTAATTCTTTCGATGTGTGGTAGAGTCAGCCAAGGAAGACATTGGTCTTGGACTGTATTAGGATTCTCCAGAGAAACAAACAATAGAATGTGTGTGTGTGTGTGTGTGTGTGTGTGTGTGTGTGTGTGTGTGACAGAGACAGAGACAGAGAGACTTATCTTTAAAAATTTGCTTATGGGGCACCTGGGTGACTCAGTCGGTTAAGTGTCCAACTTCAGCTCAGGTCATGATCTCGCGGTTTGTGAGTTCGAGCCCCACGTCGGGCTCTGTGCTGAGAGCTCTGTGCTGACAGCTTGGAGCCTGGAGCCTGCTTCGGATTCTGTGTCTCCCTCTCTCTCTGCACCACCCCCCCCACCACTTATGCTCTGTCTCTCTCTCAAAAATGAATGTTAAAATTTTTTTTTAAATATGCTTATATTAAAAAAATAAAATAAAAAATTTGCTTACGTGACTATGGAGACTGGCAAGTCCAAAGGCTGCAAGTTAGATCCTTAGGCTGGAGGCCCAGAGAAGTCTAAAGGCAGTCTCTAGGCAGAATTCCCTCTTCTTTTGGGGAGGTCAGTGTTTTTCTATTAAGGTCTTCAACTGAAGAGATGACATCGACTCACAATAGTGAGGGTATGAAATGAATAAAGGAAACTCTCATTTCAAATATAGTCAGGGGCACTTGGGCGGCTCAGCTGGTTAAGTATCCACTTCTTGATTTCAGCTCAGGTCATGATCTCACAGTTCCTGAGTTTGATCACTGCATCAGGCTCTGTGCTGACAGCTCAGAGCCAGGAGTCTACTTCGGATTCTGTGTCTCCCCCTCTCTCTGCCCCTTCTCAGCTCACGCTCTGTCTCTCTCTCTCAAAAATAAACGTTTATTTATTATTGAGAGACAGAGCATGAGCATGGGAGGGGCAGAGAGACAGGGAGACACAGAATCTGAAGCAGGCTCCAGGCTCCAAGCTGTCAACACAGAGCCCAATGCAGGGCTTGAAACTCACCAACTGTGAGATCATGACCTGAGCTGAAGTTGGACGCTCAACCGACTGAGCCACCCAGGTGCCCCATAAACATTAAAAAAATTTTTTTAAATAAAATAAAAATTTCTGAGACTTGTTTTGTGGCCTAATCCTGGAGATCTTATCCTGGAGAATGTTCTGTGTACATTTGAGAAGAATATGTTTTCTACTATTGTTGGGTACAGAGTTCTATATATCTTAGGTCTAGCTATTTTACAGTTTTGGTCTCCTATTTCCTTATTGATTTCTGTCTAGTGTTCTATCCATTAAAGGGGCACTGAAGGCTCCGGCTATTAACAGAACTATTACTCCCTTCAATTCAACTTTTACACACACCTGGGATGACAGTGGTCTTAGCAGGCCTCTCTTCCTCTCTTTCCCTGAGCACACAAAGCTGATAAAAGAAGTGCTACTATGCCTGTATTGTTTTCCAAAGTTCCCAGGGGCATAAAATGATCTAGACTAACACATTCAAATTCGGACTCCTTTGGAAAGGACAGTTCAGGAAAACAGTGTTTGATGTTTGTTCTGATCCCACCTCCGGGCCCTCCTTCATAGCACTTGGGGCCCGTGGCAGCTGGGACCCTGGGGCTGGGTGATTTTCAGTATTCGTAAGCATCTCCACGGAACAATACAGCATTTGGAATATATGTGTTTGTGAAGCCAGGTTGTGTGGGTTATGGGAGGGGGTATGAGGGTAGGAGAGCTAGGTGTCGCCACAAAACAAGATTTCCTCCTTATTGATGTTCCAGGGGGATAAGGACCCATCCCATGACTTCTAGGTCGCTACCTTGACCCCACTGCACTGTGGCCAAGGATTGGCTGGGAGGGTAGAGCAATTAAAATTGCTCAGAACAAAAATCTCTGCATCATCCCAGGTAACCCCCTTCCCTTTATATTCCATGATCATTGGCTCCACCCTCAAAATACATCCCAGACTGAACCACTTCTCACCTTTCTGGTCCTACCACTGGCGCCCAAGCCCTGGTCCTCCTCTGTTCCCACCCCTGCCCCAGCCTTCTTCCTGACCCTTGAACGTGACCTCAGAGCTTTCACACTGCCCTTTCTGTGCCTGGATGGTCTTCCAGATATGCACAGAGACGGTTCCATCTACGATTCTGTTCAAACCTCTCCTCCTCACAGACGCCTTCCCTCTGCATCCCTCTGCACTGCTGTGCCCTCCGCTGGCCCCTAGCAGCCCCCTCACCTCATTTTACTTTTAGTTGTGCTTCGATCAGCACTCTCCCTGCTAATTACGTGAGGTCCAGGAAGATGGGGCCCTGGTTTCTCTGGCTCATTGCCATAGCCAGTCGGTCGCTGTAGTGGGCCAGGAGCATCAGGACCACTCCACTGGTCCAGCCAAAGCCCTCCTGGAGAGAGGAATGGCTAGTGGGGCAGGATCTCTGGGGAAGGCCCTCAAGCCCTATTTTAGGGGGTGTGAGATCTCCACCCAGGGGCTCTAGAACTGCCTAACCCCAGGAGGACAAAGGAGCTCCAGGCAGGCTCCTCCCTGTGGACCCACACCCACAGGAGGAAACCGGCCCAGACAGCGGAGGTCATGGCCAGTTGCGGGGACAGCAGAGCCCTGTAGTTCCTATGGGATGCGGGCCCACTCACCTGAACTTCATACTCCCCTCCACCACCTGGCTGACCACCGTTGCTGATGTCATACTGGGAACAAAAGGACAGGCTCTAAGGTCAGGCACTACCCACCCCACCCCCGCGCCCCCTCACCTCAGCCCTCTAGGGAAAGCCAGAAATGGGAGCCCCTGTGGGAGAAGCTGCCCTGGCCTGCAGTGCCCAAGAATGGCCACTGGGTGTCACCACTGTCCCCGGGCCTTGCAAAGCCTGGCAATTCCCCCATCTCCCCATGGGGAGGAGGCCCAGGAGGGTCAGGGCTCAGGAGCAGCTCACCTTCTCATACATGGCTGGCTTTCTGGAGTAGACCTCAAAGTTGGTTCGGATCCAATTCTGAGCCAGCTGGAAAGCCACTTCCTGAGCCCAAGGTGAAGGACACTTGGCCAGACCTAGACCCCACCCCGCCCCAGGCAGGACCCTGAGCCACCTGAGTCCCCAACCCAGAGGGAGCATAGGCCTGAACCTTACTCTCCTCAAGGAGGGAAAGAGGCCCGAGCCTCAAGACCTCCATCTTGAAACCACGTGAACAGCTCTTTCCCCAGGGCCTGGGTTTGGAGAGAGAAAGGAGGGCTGGTTCCCTGGACAGGTGGGGGCAGGTACAAATATCTGCTGAGGGGGAAGCCATGAGAACAGAAGAGCCAGAGAAGGACCTCACATCCTCTGTTCACACCTCCCCAGTACCAGGGGGCTGACCCTCTAGATGCAAGGAGGGCGGGCCCTGGGATGTGCCCCACTGCTGCCTCCCTACCTCTGATGACCAGGTCCTGCAAGGGGGCCCAGGCACTGGGGAAGTCCCACTGCTGGCCTGTCTTCTGGAGAGAGGTCGGGATCCCATACTGGTAGGTCAAGATCTGGCTGTCCTAGAAGGTTCCAGACATTTCTCGGACCGTGGGTGGGGACTGGATGAGGAGCCAAGGGGCCGGGCCCTCCTAAAGCCAGATGGTCCCTTTCCTGGACTTTCTCTTTTTGGCTCACTGCCGCCCCCTGGTGGCTCCAGCGGGACCTGCAGGCTCAGGCACAGGGGTGGAGCAGGAGGGAGTGGAGGTCACTAGCTCAGAGTCAGGGAGAGAGCAGGTGGTTCTGCCCCCAGTATACCAGCCCGCCCTGCTGCCCCTGCCCCCCCCCCCTCACCTCCATATATTTCAGAGCCTTGCCCACGACTCCTGGGACAGAAAAGCAACTGTCTCAGAAAGCAGTGTGGCTGAATGGATAAAAGTCCAAAGTCTTTCCATGTTCAAGCTCATAGTCAAACCAGGTATCTTTTTCCTCATCTCATAGGATGGCTTTCAAAACAGCCCAGTGCTATTTCTGCAAATTTCAGTAATTCATAGCTTTGGAGGCATATTCTTGGAACTAGTTTAGATAGAAAGTGCATACCCTTGTATTCTACTGCAGTTTTCTAGAAAGAAATTGACGGGGGGGGGGGAGGCGGTAGAAGGGGAAAGTTTACTTCTAACTCCTCATTGCCTCCCTGAAGCCCTTACCAGCCTCCTCCCAGGTAAACTCACGCAGACCTGCTTCTTAAACCTCTAATTGCTCACTCCCCAGCTGGGCTCTACCTTCCCTGAGCTAATCAGCTAGGCCTCGGCTCAGAAATATTTGCCACTGCTGATTGTGGCCTGTGGTCAGCACTGTCTGTTATGTACTTTCTCTCCTTTGTCTGAGGCTCAGAGAGGGCAGAGGTTTGCCCGAGGCTGCACAGCATCTGTCCTCCCAGCCGGCCCCCGGGGCCCTGGCACCCGCTGGCACAGAGTGGTGCTCCAGGACCCTTTCCCACCCAGCCCCACAGGAGCAAACCCAGCTCTGTTCCACGACGCCCCTCAAAATAACTGACAGCCCACCGCTCTCCCACTGAAACCACACTCACTGGGACAGAACCAGGAGGCCATGAACAGAGAAAGTACCTGAAGGAGGCAGCCATCTCTACTCTGGTCCTACAGTTGCTCTCCCGAGGCCACGTTCATGTACGCCTGTCTCACTGGGAAAGCAGTTTGGGGTTTCCTTTCTCCTTACAAATAAAACTGCCAGTTACTTCACCCGCAAAAGGGGGTTCGTTTAGGAACAGCAGAGAACGGCCATCTGGGCTGAGTAAACCACAGGGAAACCGTGGGCAAGTCAGCAGAACGCAGAACAGGAACGCTGCCTTGTGGAGGAAGGGGGGCATTGGGAAGGCTGCTGCGAACAACAAGCCCTTTGCGGTAAACTGGGGCCTTCTGAGTACGGTGGCTTTTCATTGGCTGAGTTGTGACAGCCTCTCATTGGCTGGGCTGTTGCTGGGGAGGAAGAAACCTACCCCTTCGGCTGGGAGAGTAAGGCAGCATCCACTTGCTAGTTGGGATCTGCACTTGACAAAGAGTCAGGGCAGGAGGGCTTCACCTGCCAGCCTCCCGGAGGTTGTGAATGAGGTTTCCTTTCATTCATTTTCACACTCCACGCCTGGGTCAGAGGATGCGGGCCCTGAGTCTCTGGGCCTGGCTTGGTGGTGGCCCCAGAGACGAGGCCAGGGGAGTGGAGGACGTGGTCCCCCTGGCCGGTCCTGATAATGGCCATTGTTTGGTGAGCACCTGCCAGGGCCGGGCTGGGTCAGTCAGGACTCCAGAGGCCCCCACGTGGGGCCGAGCAGACCAGGCTCCCGCAGCTCAGGCCTTGACCTCAGCTGTACCCGGCTGACCAGCAGCAGAGCCAGAACTCGTGCTCTGGCTCCCTGGCTCCAAAGCCTCAGCTGCCAGACCCACCCCCCCGCCGCCCGGCCTCTTCCGGACTCCACACCGTGGGGGTCCTGGGCTCCCTGTGCCCTCTCTCCTGACTGCAGGTGAAGCCAGAGGTCCTCAGCCACCCCGAGCAGTCCTGTCTACTCAGAACACCCCTTCGTTGTGTCTGGTGGACGCTTTGTCGAATTCTACTACTGGTGAGCGGCCGGGGCTTTAGGGTGGGAGTGGGGGAGCCCGGGGCCGGCGGGCTGTCCTGAGCAGGGTAGGGCACCCTGACTGGCCTGGGTGTGCAGGGCAGGGGGTGGCGGGGTCGGGGAGGGAGGGTGGGTGCCTGAGCTGCCCCTTTCCCCAGGGACTCCTACTGGGTGATGGAGGAGCTGTTCCTCTCTGAGATGCCCGAGACCGTGAAGGGCATGCTGCAGAACTTCCTGGACCTGGTGCGACTGTAAGAGGGGACGGGCTTGGCGCTGGATTGGCCTTGGCCTTGGCCTTGGCCGCTGGGCAGATGCCCCTCAGCAGGCCTCCTTCTCGGCAGCTATGGACATGTCCCCAACGGGGCCCATGTGTACTCCCTGCAGCGGAGCCAGCGCCCCCTGCTGACTCTCATGATGCACTCCTACATGGCTCACACCAAAGATAAGGCCTTCCTGAGGAGGGCACCCCGGCCCCCTGCTGCCCTGCAGGCCCCCGTCCCTGAGACCTCCCAGGGCGGGACTGAGGGGGCGTGCCTGGGGTAAGGCGGTATCTGGCTCCGCCCCAGGGACAACATGGGGACCTTAGCTTTGGAATTGGACTTCTGGACTGAGCACAGGAACGTCTCTGTGAGCTCGGGGGGGAAGAGCTACGTCCTGAATCACTATTCTGTCTCTTATGGGGGACCCAGGTAAGGAGCTGCTCTGTCAGCCTCTCAGTCTCTCATCGTTCACTCTGGTTTGAGGGCCAGTGACTTAACCCCACGTCTCGGATGGTGATGCCGAGGGGGTGGGTGCCTGTGTTGTCAGAAAAGCAGTGCCAATGGGAGCCAGGGGAACAGCGTGGCCCCCCCACTGGCGCAGTTCTCTCCCAGCTCCTTCCTACCTGGCCAGGCTGCGTAGCGACCACACGAAGGCTGCAGAGGAAACTTGCCCCAAGGTACTGGCCATGCAGTGGCTGCGTCCCCCTCTGCTGGGCCGTCCCTGGGGAAGGAGAGGCCCCAGAGGACAGAGACAGCAGACAGGGCACCACCAGGATCGCGGGCAGTGGCACGAAGAGAGGACCGCTGTGGGTGAGCTCTGTCCAGGCCAGAGGAGAAGGAGAGTGGCAGAGTGAGGATATGGAGGACAGGACGACAGACCAGGAAGACCACGGTGGGGGCTTTTCTCCTCTGTAGCATGGCCACCAGCCTGCATTGCAGGGTCCCCCTGCCCTCCTCCCAAGGCAAGACCGACCTGCTCGCCAAGGCCTGGAGCAAGACAAGGAGCCTCTCGGCCCCTCCCTCTGCACTCCTACTCAAACCACAGCCATCTGCGGACCAAAAACACCTCTCTCTCTTTCTTTTTAACCCCGAGTTGCCTGAAACATATGCGTGGTCGGGCTGGGCCTGTGTCACGAGGGCCGCCTGCATACACGGGAGGGCGGGGGACGACTCCTGGGCACTGGCTCTCAGACACTGCACGTTTCTCTATTTCTGCACATGGCAGCAATTTTTGCAGAAAGGGTGAAAAGGGCGCATCTGGGCCCAGGCACCAGCCTGCTGCAGCTGCCTGTGGCTGCCTCTGCCCGCCTCTGCCCACCCAGGGCAACCTCTTGTTCTCACCTCAACCACTGTGACTTCCTCTCCCCGTGGGAACAAGGTCAGGGGCTCCCGCCGCACCCAGACTCCTGGGCATCTCCCTGCCCGGCCAGGAGTCTCACAACCACAGCTCAGTGTCAACAAAATTCAGTGCTCCCAACTCATGGCCCTGTAAGCAATGTGATTAGCAGTGTTTGTAAGTGTCCATGAGAGATGCTTTAAGTCAGAACCGGGTCCCAGGAGACCCTGACTGAAGACCTGACTATGCCATTACAGGCCCTGTGCCCGGGGCCACTCACTCTATCATCCTAGGCCATTGCTACATAAATTGAAGGCTTTGTTCTCCATTAGGGATTGCAAACTCCAATTCTAGTAACACAAATGTGCAGAAATATGTGGGGGCAAGGGAACTAACAGTACAAGAGCATCTTCTTGGGGAGTTAGGAGAACTAGGGTGAGAAAATGCACTTTACTCTATAAAGAAGCTCTCCGCCTCAGAAGGTGGTTGACACAAGGGAATGTGGGCTCCTTATTTGCTAGATATTCTGATTTAAAAAAAAAATTTTTTTTTTGATGTTTTTATTTATTTTTGAAGGGGAGAGAGAGAGAGACAGAGCATGAGCGGGGGAGGAGCAGAGAGAGAGGGAGACACAGAATCCAAAGCAGGCTCCAGGCTCCGAGCTATCAGCACAGAGCCCGATGTGGGGCTCGAACTCACGAACTGTGAGATCATGACCTGAGCTGAAGCCGGACGCTCAACCGGCTGAGCCACCCAGGCGCCCCTAGAACTTCTGATTTTTTGAAGTAGGGTGGGACCCGATATTTTGATGCAAAATATCCCAATTTTTAAATTTCTCAATGTCCCAAATTCTGACTGGGGATGGTTCCTTGTGGGTGTGAGG